CTGCCCCGTGTTACTGCTACCGCCACTGTCACTCGCTTGTTTCACGCGACACTTTGTCCAGACGCTGGACAGACGTCGTTCCTGATACGTTCATTTTACATCATGGGACCTCCTTTGCCAGTACCAAAATATAAGAAAAGGTTTCCGTTTTGTTGCCAGAAAAAAGTGGAAAACCTTATTCTTATGATACGTTCATTCTTTAGTATGTGCCCGAATTCAAACGGGAGTCCACTGTGCGCCAGAGATAAGCAGCTTTAACTTGAAACTATTGAAAATGTACACCTAAAAATTAAGCGAAAATGTCAACTATTTTTTTTACTATGATATAAAAAGGATGCCGTTCAAGTTTAATAGATAACAAATTCAATGTTCTGACAGGACGACCGCATGGCGAGCGCCCTATTGCTTTACTTTCGTTTAAGCTTCAAGATGTGTTGGACAGTTATTTGAGGTGTAATATGCCCACAAATAACGTGTCAACGACTTGTTACCACTGCAAAACACATTGAAAACGAGCAGCCATATAAATATATTTATTGAAGATGACACCTTGGAGTAAATTTAAAAAAAAAATACAAACACAAGAAACACGGTCACACTTTTTTTCCGTAGGCTCTACTGGATGCCTATGTCCGGGTTTTCTCCGAGTACGCCAGATTTGAGCACATAACCAACGCTCGTGGAACTGAACAAGTATTTCAAAGTAGGACCCTCCAAAATACTAGCCTTTAAACATCGCGAGTCGTTACTGGATAAACAAAGGACATTTTGACGAGCGAATAAGCGCGAGTGGTTTTGGTGAGAGCAAATGAGTGCGTAACGGTTGAACGTTTAATAAGTGGCTGAGTTGTGTGAAAATAATCAGTGACAAGGGGGTGAATAATGCGAGTGGTTAAGTGAATGAGCGAGGAGTTTAGCGAGTGGATGATTTCACTACGAAATGAACGACGGTCTGAATAATCTCGCGGATGAATGAATGAATGAGCGAACGAGCGAGTCAAAACGTGTTGCGTGGGTGAGTCGACGCGACCGAATGGGTGAATGGCGCGTGGGTGGCTACTGAGCGTAAATAGGTGAGCGAACGAGCGAGCGAGCGAGTGAATGCATTAAGTGATTAATAGAATGCCTGAACGAGTAAGATCGAGCGAATTGGGTGGGTGGGGGGGGCAGGCACATTAGCGAGTGACTTTAGAGTTACAGCACAGGTGGTTATCAAGCAAACTTAAAGCGTGCCGACGACGACGGCGCTGCATGGGTGGCGATCGATGTCGGCGGCGCTTATGAAGATGACGACCACGATGCCTCCACGTGAAGAAGACAGGGGGGGAGGGGACGGGGGAGAGAGAGGACAGGGGGGGGCACCGCTGTGAATGGAGACCCCGGGTTTTTTTTGTTTACGGTCGTCACGGGGGTCTCGTCGTCAGGCCCGCGGTATGCGCACGTCTATGCCACGGCACGGACGATGATGCTTCTGCTGCTGCCGCCACCGCCACTGCTGCCGAGGTTTCGTCCGTTGATGCTCACTCCGCAACAAAAAAAAACACCTCCCCGTCTCGCATTCATCCATCAACAACAAACACAAACGCTGCTGTTGCTGCTGCTGCGGCTGTTTAACGCCGCACACCGGTCGCGCCTCGTCCCGTTCGGTCTCCACCAATTCTGTTTTTTAACCCGACCACGGGAAAAAAAACTTCTGCTACTGCTGTTAAATAACTCTTCCCCCTCCCTCCGAGCCCCCTCTTGAATAGTTCGTTTGTCAACTTGCTGCTGCTGCTGTTGTGGTTGTGCGACAGCATCATTGTGCAAATTTTTTTTTAAAAGAGAAACCCTCCCTTCTGCTGCTTGGGAAAGGACTGGAGGAGGAGAGGGCGATACGTGTTGGGGTGGAGGAGGGGAAGCCATGGGTGTTGTGTCAGGGGTTGGGTCACTTCAGTGGACTGCAGTCGTGTTGTAAGTTATGGCAGCTCTGGGCAGGGGAGAGAGAGAGGCGCGTGTGTGTGTTGACGTGTGTGTGTTGTTATGTAGGTGCTCGCTAACAGCACTTGCCCCGACAGTCTGTTAAGGCTATACGGGAGATCTTTGTCTTTGTGTGTTGTTATGTAGGTGGGGAGCGGTGGCGCAGTGGCCCGTCCATTCCAGCTCGCGACCAATAACTTAAAGCGGAACTGGACCTCCCGTAGGTCGACTTAGCCATAAATTGGTACTGCACCCGACTCGGTGCCTAAATATCAGCAAACGAGAGAGACAAAGGCGGCCGCGCGTGGTGCTCAAAACACCACCCCCTCGTGTGCCTTTCGCCAGCCTTAATAGGTGTTCGCAAACATCACTGGCGCCGCCGACTGTAAGGCTAATTATGGGATCGTGTTTGTGTGTATCCATGTACGCGTACACTCACCACACATCCACCAGCAGTCACCCACAAACATACAGCCCTTAGCCTGCACCACAAAGACAAACAGACTGTTGGAGCAAGTGCTGTTAGCGAGCATCATTGAAGGCCGGCACGGCACACGAGGGGTTAAGGTTGTCGAGCACCACGCCCGGCCGCCTTTGTCTCCCCCAATGGCAATGTTTACACACCGCACCAGATACTTATTTGAAGCAGAGTCGACCTGGCGGAGGGGGCCCAGGACTGGTTCAGATAATCGTCGCTGGTGTTGGCCGTGAGCTGCGATCGAACTCGTAGCGTAGTGCGCTAACCGCTACACTACCGCTCCCCAGCATTACACACAAAGGAAAAGATCCCCCGTATAGCCTTTAACCGGCTGTTGGGGCAAGTGCACGGCACGCGAGGGGGGGGGGGCAGCACCACGCACACACACACAGCCACTCCCCACCCGAACACACACGGATCTGCGACCACCGTTCATCCAACCACCCACCCACAAACACCCATTCCATAGCCTACCCACAAGAACACACACGCATGCATGCACAATTCACCCACCCACAAAACAACCACCACACGCACGAGCACATACACGGACACACACCACAAAGACAAAGATCCCCCGTGTAGCCTGCAGACTGTTGGGGCAAGGTACTGTTCGCGAGCACCCTATGAAGGCCGGCACGGCACACGAGGTGGTGGGTGGCCAGCGCCACGCTCGGCCGCCTTTGTCTCCCTAGTGGCGGAATTTATATCATCTCACCAGGTACTCATTTGAGGCCGAGTCGACTTAGGGGAGGCCCAGGACCGTTTGAGACAATCGTCACTGGAGTTGGTGGCCGTGAGTGGGAATTGAACTCGGGTCGCCGGGTTCGTAGCGCAGCGCGCTTACCGCTACACTCCTGCTCCCCACACTCTCACGAACACACGCACACACACACTCTCACGAACACACGCACACACCCACCCACATACACCCCACACACACCCTCACGAGCACACACACACTCTCACGAACACATACAAATTCCCCGTGTAGCCTTAACAGACTGTAGGTGGAAGTGCTGTTAGCGAGCACCTATGAAGGCCGGAACGGTACACGAGGGGGTGGGTGGCCAGCACCACGCCCGACCGCTTTTTCCTTCCTAGTGGCGATGTTTACACACCGCACCAGGTACTCATGAGGCTGAGTCGTCCTAGGGGAGGCCCAATCCCGGTTCAAATAATTGTCACTCGTGTTGTCCGTGAGTGTGAATCGAACTCGGGTCGCCGTATTCGTAGCGCAGCGCGCTCACCGCTACACATCCGCTCACGAACACACACACACACCTTCTTGGTTCTTTCGGTAAAGTCACGTAGAAGGGAAGTAATAAAATAATAAAAATAAAACATAATAAAACAATTCTCACGACGTTTCGGCCACAACGCAAGCAGCCGTCCTCAGGTGAAAACCAGGTCCGTCGAGGCGACAGAGTCTGAATGAAACAGCACACGAGCTTGGAGCATATATATAAGCTGGGCGCATTGACAAAGGAATTTGCATATCAAAAGGAATTTAGCATATTTATGGGAAATGCAGGAATGTGATTAGTACTGCATATGCATGTGCATTATGCAGGATTAACAGCATCAAAGGGAGCTGCAGTTACTGCTGCTGCTGCAGTTGCTGCTGCTGCAGTTTCTGCTGCTGCTGCAGTTGCTGCTGCTGCAGTTGCTGCTGCTGCTGCAGTTGCTGCTGCTGCTGCCTTATCCATTTTAATATAACACTATGTATTATTCTACCCACCCTAATGTGTATCACACTGCTATATGTTTACTATACAATTACGACACCATACATTACTCTGCACACTGCACCATGCCAGTGAGTGGAACGCGGTCTGAAAGTCACCGTAAACGTGAACACAATCAGTTAAGATCCGAAATGGTTTATTACGTCCTTCCAATGATTGCTAAGCCAGAATCCATCTTCTCGGTTGAAATTGTCTCTGTGTTTGTATATGTGGATCGCCTCATGAACGAATCTCTCATGATAGCCAGATGGCTTGCAGAGAACCTCTGTCTTGGAGAAGTCAATGTCATGTGAGCCCACTGAATTGTAACAGTGATCTGCCACGGCTGAGGTGTTTGTCCTACCGTGTTTCAGGTCTGCCTTATGTTCACGGATGCGGTCCGAGACATGTCGTTTGGTTTCTCCAATGTAACTGCTACCACAGAGGCAACTTAGTTTGTAGACGCCAGGGTACTGTATGTCCGGAACCACATCTTTTACAGACGGGACCAGATCACGGATTTTATGTACTGTGTTGAATCGGACCTGGATCTTGTGTTTAATCAGGATTTTGGAGATCTTCGTCGTGAGAATTGTTTTATTATGTTTTATTTTTTATTATTTTATTACTTCCCTTCTACGTGACTTTACCGAAAGAACCAAGAAGATGAATCCCTGCAGTCACGAAAGCTTTAAATCGAAACACACACACACCCTCACGAGCACACACGCACACGCACACACCCTCACGAACACACACACGAGCACACACACGAACACACACACAGTCCGGTCTGCAGACTGCCCCAACCCTCCGCCCCCTGGAGGAGGCTCCGAGGCTTGGAGCCAGCCCTGTCAATCAGCCGCACGGGACGGCGGTGAAAGTGATTGTCAGGAGGGAGAACATGTTTTACTTTGCACATGCCCTCTATTTGAAGAAGCTGCTCCATAAGAGGGGGCGGCGATCCGCGGAGCGCGGTTTAAGGAGGAGGAGGAGCGCCCTTTCGACACGGTGACAGCAGCAGCAGCATCTCCTCCTCTATCTCCTTCATCTCTCGGTCTCTCTCCTCTACGCGAGTCTCTGGTGTGTGTGTGTGTCTCCAAATCCGAGCACGTTGCTTCTGGTCTCGTAACAAGGCTGGCTGCCCGCGCATAACTCGGAGCCGAGCTATTACAGCCTGACGGCTTCCTTCCACGTTGCTTGCATTCTATCTCCTATACCTCTCCTCCGTCTCTATTGGTTTGCGTGCGCGTGTCTCGAGCTCCTTGTCCCCTATATCCAAGCACGTTGTGTTGCCTCTCTCGTAATAACAAGACTGCATGTCTATAACTCGGAGTCGAGCTACGCTGCCTGCCCACGACCCGTCTCCACATCCAACATCGTTCGCATTCTCCGCCGCGAGAAACGGGATGGTGGCGGTGGTGGTGATGATGATGGTGACGATCCGTCTCCGAGGACAGAGCTGAGCGACTCGGAGCGGTGTATACCACTCAAAACCACGTGGCGTTGTGGCGAAGCGGAGCGAGAGCCGTTGACGGTGAGTGGCGAAACTGCGTCTGCTGCGGCGTTTGTGAGTGAACGACCATAGCGGGCTTAACAACGCGTTCTGGTCGGCGATGCAGTGATGGATTAATAATTATTGAATATATCTGTGAGCAGCGTTTGAGTGCTAGCCCCGAGCACTGCCTGGTGGGTTGTATCTGCATTTTGCTCTTTTCATTGCGTGCAATTGGCCAAAGTATTCCAGTGTGACAGGATCTTACTGGGAAACATGGGTACATAATTGGCGTCGTTATGACCGCCCAGTAGAACGATCACTGTTGACATTCCACAGAGTGGTACCTATTTATCGACTCCGTAAGGATGATAGGTTGACGTTTCCCGAGGTTTAAAGTCGAGCGCTCGCTTCACAGCGCCGCAAATATCCGGGTCATTTACGGCTCAGCATCGTCCTGTATCAAATAAATGCACACAATTATGCGTTACCGATTTAAATTCGAACAATGTTTTAAAAAAAAGTTAGAAATATGAAATTTGGCCAACGTGTAACAGAGTCTGCGCTTATTGCTAGAAACGTCCAAAAAAACCCAGCATTTTTTAATTTCAGACCCCAAACTTTAATTTGAGGTCAATTGGTTTCACTAATTAGGGCAGGGCGCGTCAAATATAAAATAAAAATTGTGCCAAACATTAAAAACACAGGGATAAATCAGTGAACCAAGTAGTTCGCTTCCCATTAAATGTGACGTTCGATTCGATAGCGGGTGAAGAAGCCTCCAGAAAGGTTTAAGGTTTAAAGTATCCTTCTAAAACACATGGTTTGATCCGCGTCCATCGCACCCACCTCTTACACAGTGTATATATATACATAGCGCATGCTATAAAAACGGAAGTATCGTGGACACGGATTCGTTATGCCAACAGGTGCCATGAAGGTGTGAGCGAGTGGCCGGAGAGACACGGAAAAAAACACGTGTCCGTTGTAGATTGCCTTTATTGAGAGCTAAAACCTATTGGTTTTATTAGCACTTTGGAGAAGCGTAGGCGCGCTACAAATCCCACGAATCTGCTTTATGAGTTTCCGGGGATACGTCTAAGAGTGGCAAGGGACAATCTGAACCAGGCCTGGGTCTTCTCCCCCACCACCCCACCGCCTGGTCTTCGGACGACCTAAGTTATAGTCCCGTCCGACGGCTGGCTAACATCTCTGAATTCGTCCTAATACACACCACCCGCACTAAACCGGTGTGGTGAAGTATTGTCAAACAACTTCCATAAAATCAGGTCTTCATCCAGCAAATGAAGTGTCAAGGAACGCTACCAATTATTTTGTCGGTTTTACTCATCGCTGAAGCGAGTCTAAAACACGAGGCATTCATTCCATTGATCAATTATGCAGAGTAATTTGTTTTTATCACACAACGCAAACGTCGTAAACCTCTGTTGGTTTCGGGTAGTACGACGTGTTGTTTCCGATTGATGTCCGACGTTTCGCTCCACGTGAGCGCTACGCAGCACGCCTGTGAACACCTACGCCAGGGGTGGTATTGGTACAATTGCAAAACTCCACTCGGCAAAAATTGTACAGGAATTGCACGTTCGCATTAGAAAGGGGAAGACCGACTTATGGAGTATTACCGATGCAAACGCGCACATCGCGTTTCTACTACTGTGCAGGATGCAATCATAGTATGCGTGCACAGCCCCTTCTGTCAATCCACTGCTGGATCAATACCGGGGTTGTTTTACCATACTCAAGCACCTCTAGTCAGTGCAAGATGATGACGTTGGGGAGCATATACGCGGGAAGATAGTACAGTACAACATTATTTTTGCTGAACCGCCCTCTGCTGACAACGTATCCCCGCAGCAACCTATACCACCTGTTTTTGTTTAATACAGTATGCTTGGTGATCCATCAAAGCACTCTTTGCAGGCTTAAAACCGCGTAGCTTTCTAAAATCTGACGAGAGTTACTTCCCGGAATGCGCCCACTCTGGACACGAAACATATCGAAGAATGTCGTGGCACGAAAAATCGATTTCTACCTTTGACATGACGCGGGCTTGAGCGAAAGCATCTGATGTTACGTTGGGGTTTGCTTTAATTACCGTATGCTCCTGATTATGGCGCACTCATTCCCCCTTGTATTGCAAAGCGTAAGTTTGAGTGCGTCTTATAATCTGGTGGCCCTGTGTGTGTGTGTGAACAGATTTGTATATTGACACCGAGCACAAGTGTGTGGGTTGCTTCTTACTTTTTAGAGAGTCTTAACATAAAACGGTTAACGCACACAACAACACACCGCCAGGATTGTCTCAGATTCAAAGATTACGGTAACAAAAATAGTCTACACGGCAATCAATATTTGGCCGCGCAATTGAACCATGAATATTGGTTTAGGCACGCAATCTCTGAGCCAGTTTCGCCCGCCTTTATCTCATCAGCAATCAGGCCCGCTGAAAAAACCCACATTGTATCATTCACTTACACAGCAATTTGTCAATTCACTGCTACATTAACGCCCCCCCCCCCCTCCCCGCGAGTCACGAGGAGCGTTTGACCATACTTCACCACGCCGGTCAGTGCGGGGTTGGTTAAGCGGGTGTTGTTTTAGGACCGGTTCAAATATGTTAGCCAGCCCAAGGGCGATACTCAAAGTTTCGGTCACAGCACGCGCGCGAACCATTGCACCACCGCTTCACCTCGTCACCACTGCTGCTTTTATCATCATGTCATGATCAATCCACTGCTGGATGATAGCCGTCGCCATCGATTGCATATCCTACGATATAATATGATTATATTCCTCCTGGCACCTGCACACAGATCTGTTATCGTTAAGAGCGCTTCCTCTTAAAACAACGGGGATAATGTCTGTGTGCGTGTATTTGCGTGCGCGCTTTCAGCACGATGCGGTGCTGCAATCAGTGAAGTTGGACCCCCCCCTCCCGCCCCTCTCCAACCCCTGCAAACCGCTACATTCCGGCATTCAAGACATACACCCCCCCCCCCCCCCCCATCTATTCCGAGCGGACGAGGGAGGATCCATATCCTCACGCGCCGGGCCCCACTCCTCTATTTATGGTGCCCGCGGCTCCATGAACTGTGGTCGTGTGGAGTGGGCCTCATTGAACATGGAGTTGCCGCGACACTTGCTGACCTTTTGCGCCCTGCTCGCCGTGCTCATGGGCTCGCAGAAGCACCGGGGTCACTGTCGCAACCACCTGCACTTACGCCCCTCGCCCAGCGACAACCTGCCCGTCAAGGACCTCGTCGAGAACCCCGACCCAGAGCTCGACCCGAAGGAGCAGGACCTGGACGAAAAGCTGCTGCGGAGGAAACTGGGCGCCAGCTTCGACCCCGAGTTTATGGCCGTGTCGCTGCCCAAGGGCGACGCTCCAGGCCAGCAGACGAGAGGAGGACGCCTCCTCCTCAAGCCGTCGGGATCGATGCCCAACGAGATTAAGCGGCTGGACCTCGGCGTTCTGCCGCATGGCCAGAAGATCAAGATCGGCAAGAGGGCCCGCCGCAAGATCCTGCAGTGGCTGTGGTCCTACACGTTCTGCCCCGTGCTGTACACATGGAAAGACTTAGGCGAGCGCTTCTGGCCGAGGTTCGTGAAGGAAGGAAGCTGCTATAATGGGAGGTCGTGTTCCTTTCCGGAGGGAATGGCCTGCAAGCCCTTCAAGTCCGCGAGCAAGACGCTGCTGCGGTGGCACTGCCAGGGATGGGGCAGGCAGAAGTACTGCGCGTGGATACACATTCAGTACCCCGTCATCTCCGAGTGCCGCTGCGCCTGCTGAGACCAGCCCTGTAATAATAATAATAATGACAACAACTACACCAGGGGCTGCTTCATTTAAGCCGGAGCTGTTCTGGGGCCGAGCTCTGGAAATATTTCCCCCGGGGGCAAGGGAGTTGGCGGGGGGGGGGGGGGGCATAAAATAATCCATGAGAAACGAATGCCTGAATATTACAGAACTAATTATAAACGTTACATCACGGACGTTCGTCGTCCAAATACCACCTACCCTGGAAAGCCTCGCCGAGTCTCGGGACTCCTTTTCAGGAGGGTCTTGCTCAGGTGGAGTAGCCGTCGACTGAGTGTACAGGTGGTGCAACTGCATCGGGTCCCTACGGGCCGGAGGGGCCGGAGGGGCCGGATGACGTAGAGTGGGGAAATTGGACAGGGGCAAGGGGGCTCCATCTCATTCCTTGCACCAGGGCCCTTGCCAGCCACGCTACGCCACTGCTGCTGCTGCTACGTGAGGATGTTTAGCCAAATTCCGTATTGGTTGGCATCAGCAGTAGAGCCATGATCTATCCACTGCTGGACGAAGGCTTCCTCGGGTCGTTCCTATTCCAGTCCCACGATGTAACACAAATATCCATTCAGAACATGGTAGCACACAGACCGATTTCATAACTCCCATCTCCGAGGTAGACATAATGGGTGTGTGTTCCTCCTCCTCTTTAGCTGCACGTGAGAGAAAACCGCAATACCCCTGGTGGGTAGGTTAATACCCTACCACGCATAGCGAGGGTGGGGGGGGGGGTAACAAAAAACACGCAAATTCCACACACATGAATTCAAGAATCCGTTACTCAGCTGCTATCTCCTGCATCCCCGTTCCCCAGCCCTAGACCGACTCCACGGCGACTCCCAAAGCACACAAGCTCACGCAAATCACCGTCTGCGAGGTTATGTATGCGTAAGAGGCGCTGCGTATATAATTCATGATGAGTCAGCGTTGGTGGTGGCCGTGATTCACGCCTGCCATCTCGCCGCGGTGTAGCAAGTCGGTGAGCTGCAGCCACGCTGTGTGCTTGCAGTTAGGGAGGGTTACCCCCCCCCCCCTCTGCTCCCATGTAAATTGCAGGACCCTATTTGAAAGCGAGACTCTACGAAGTGCTTTTTGAGTTGAAAAAAGGACGTTCATTTTACCCATGGCTACGAACCGCATATAAATATCACGCACCAGGCACTGCGTCTATACAAATACCACAGATGACGACGGCGATGCTGACGACGCGTTATTAGATAGATGCCCGGGCGTTAACAAAGTATATATTTTTTATGTGTATCACTTTTTATGTCGTAGAAATATTTGTGCATAAAAAAAACAGAGAGATACATGGATTCGTCGTTTACTATGTGTTCAGAAACCTCACCCTGAAAAGATTGTGTAAGCCAGGTGGCACAACACGCGCGCGCGTGCTGTGCCATTGCATTACATGCGCCACGAAAATAATCAACTCGTGTAGTCTCGATTTTGGCTTGGCCAGGGAGCGGTGGCAGAACGGTTAGCGTTACGGTTGCTCTCAAAACCCGGCGAATCAGAGTTCGATTCCCGTTACACGGATAACATTAAGGTGGTGTAGTAACGTTCTGACCCGCCCCGACTGGATATCGGTGACAAGAGCCTTATAGCTCATCGTATTCTTCCAGTATAAAGATTCCGATTCGGTTTCTCTGGCGAGCGATGATCCAAACCGGTCCTGGATGCCTCCAAATCACCTTTCAACCAATTAACCCTGCAATGACCAGCGTGGTGAAGTATGGTCAAATAGCCGCCATGGCTGATACGCGGGGTGGGAGGAGGGGAGGAGGACTTTATCCAGCAGTGGATTGAAGAAGGAAACGTCTTTAAATTATTATTTTTTTTATAACGATACGGTTTAAAATGTTTTTATTGTAAAGTTAAAACGCAAGTTAACACTTTTGTCTGGAATGTAACGGTACTGGGCTCGAGGTGGCTCGGACCTTTTGTGCATAGCGGTAACGGCCGTGAAAAGGTGCAGAAAAATACATTGTACAGAGCAAAAAAAACACGACGCAAATGCATATTTATTCAATATAAAACGTGTAACTATCGGTTTAGACTGATTTAAAGTACACACACATAATACACACAACGTGTTATTTGTAAACAAGAGTATTCAGATAATTTTATGGATGGCAATATTTATGTTGCAAATGTATTATAAAAAAGCGTGTATACCATGTTCTTCTATTTGTATTTGTTATATATAAAAAAAACTCCTCCCAGGCCGCTCTTTTGGTTGTCCGTGGTTGACTTGCGGAGTGAACAACCCGCGGGCGCGGCTGCTGCTGCTGCTGCTGCGGTCGTAAACGCGCCGCCCGTATTCTCTCAAGTCCAATACGTTCCAGAAAGTAAGACGCATCTAAGACTTGGTGTCTCGTGTTAATAAAGTAAGAAAATTAGTTTTTGTTGGCACACAGACAACCGGATTATAAGACGCACAAACCAAGCCTCCGCCCCACACCCCCGAACCCCCCCCCCCAGCCCCCCCCCACACCCTCTAGCCCCCCCCCCCGTCCCCCCGCCCAAACGTTTGCTGTGCGTCTTATAATCCGGATAATATATTGTAGTGATCATGGAGGGGGGAGTTGGCCGGCTTGGGACCCAAGGTTTCCCCAAACTCGACACCTTACACGCTGCACGAGCCTGATGATTGACACACACACACACCTCTGTTAGGTGTGCGACCTCCAAAGTGCAAAATGAAACTGGGACATACAAATGGGAACAAGAAAGGATCTCACACGAAGAGAAGAAAGGAAGAACATCATGCAAAAGTTGCATTGTTCTTGAGTGGCTGCATCATTATAATCTTTAGTTTTGACGCCACCTCACAAAAACCAGGACCTTTTCACGCCTCGGGATGACGTAACATTCCCAGGACGGCAGCGATCTCGACAAGAGGACGATCCCGGGGGAAACCAGGACGGGTGGCAACCTTGCGCCTACGTGTCATTTTATAAATCAGTGCGGACGACTGTATATAGAACTACGAAGGGTCGCGCGGAACACACGCGTTGTTGAAAATCAAAATCCACCCTCGCTACGTCAAGCGGGACGCACTTTATCAATCATCTGGCGCGTGCAGCACGTAACGACCTCTAAAATGTGTAAAATGAACGGAAGTGAATTATACTCTTTGGCTCTTTCGGTAAAGTCACGTAGGTAGAAAAATGATAAATCACGACGTTTCGATCGCAACACAAGCAACCATCATCACTTCCAATCAAATCAAGATTGGAAGTGAATTGCTCCGCAAATTGGAATAGACATAGCAATCGCTGCCCACGACTGCAAAAAGAAAATAAAGTTGGCAGGACCCTCTTGAAAGAAAAAAAAATAAGAGTCAGTCATGAGGCTTTCGTCATGAAGGTAAACAAGCGTAATTATTATGATTTTGTCAACTCAGGAATGTGTCGTGAGGAATTCAGGTTTGTAACAACCACGAGCAGGAGTGAAATGTATCCTTCCAGTAATTTACAACATGCGCATTCATTTCGCACCATACATAGTCAACCGCGCTAATTCGGAGGTTCGGGGAACGACTAACTATACCCAAAAATAAGTTATAAATAAATTAGCTTTCGATCTAGATCATTTAAAAGTGCAAAGCTCCAGTGGCTTCCTAATATCAGAAGAGCGTCCCCAGATGGCCGCAGAAGCGCATCTGAAAGCGCGCAATGCAGTGGCCGACTTTGTTCGTTAGCCAAGAGCCGCTGCTGCGAGGATGACGACGAGATCAACAATGTGTGTCGTTCATTTTTGGCAAGCGCTGTGTGTGTGCATTGAGTGCCCCCCAAAGAACGTGTCCGTTCGGACACCGGAAGCCAATAGCGCCCCCTGCAGCTCGGCTGGAGTGAGGGTTTATAGGCGGCTTGCGTTAGGGTCCATGTTTTATCGGTGGATGGCTCAAAAGGAGTATAATGGCAGGCCCTTGCGGGGTGTCCGAATACTCCCCACATTTTTAGATATGGCTAAGGAGATAACCCCGTAACATTTTATGGCGCTGTTCCACAGTCAAAGACAAAAAAGCACGCTCACATACACCAGGCAGCACACCGTTACCAGGTAAGGCCCACGGAGCTATATAGCTATTTTCAGAGGTGTGGACTCGAGTCATGTGACTTGGACTCGAGTCAGACTCGAGTCATGAATTTGATGACTTGAGACTCGACTTGGACTTGCATAACAATGACTTTGTCCCACCTCTGAGGTGTGGACTCGAGTCATGTGACTTGGACTCGAGTCAGACTCGAGTCATGAATTTGATGACTTGAGACTCGACTTGGACTTGCATAACAATGACTTTGTCCCACCTCTGGCTATTTTTAGAAGCTTGGCCACACATTATAGCTCAACGAAATAGCTTAGCATGTGGAAAACAACCAAGTACTCTAAAACGGAAGTTTCTAAACGGAGCAATAGAAACAGGAGGACCCGGAGAAAAATCCACGCGACCACAGGGAGAACACGCAAACTCCAAATATACAGGCGTCAGGGTCGGGATTGAGCCCACGACCGCCTGTATACCAGGCGAGGAAGTTAACATATCACCACCGCTGCACACACGCACAACACATAACACACAGGCAGCACACACGCACGGTCAATAGAAAGTATACACGGATATCTATTCAGTGTCAGCAAACTACACATTTAGAACAACATAGCCGAAGATCCCCCCGTATAGCCTACCCAGGCTGTTAGGGCAAGTGCTGTTAGCCGGCAAGACGGACGAGGAATTAGTGTGACCAGCACTGCGCGCGACCGCATACATCACCCCCCCCCCCCCAGACACAGTACTCATTTGAGACCAAGTCGACCTAGAGGATGCACAGGACCAGGTCAGATATTCGTCTCCGATGTTGGCAGTGAGCGAGAATAAAACTCGGGTCGCCGGGTTCGTAGCGCAATGCGCCACCGCGATCCACACTCACCACACACACTCACCACACACTCACCACACACACTCACACGGCGTCATCCTCTGGTTCGTGGGCACAAGACGCCTTACCTGGGGCTGAATTAAAGGGACACCGTAGTGAGACGACGTATGTCTGCGCGATCCCTCGTGAACACTGCACGGCACATCACTCCAAATGCGCCCGATCTCACCGCATCCCAGAAGCGAAGCGGGTTTGAGGCTGGACAACGCGTGGACGTGCACAACAACTCTGGCGTGCGCGATGCGGCGAGCCAGCAGAAGGCGATGCAACAAATGTCATTGTTGGACAGCGACCTCTTGATATTCGCGGTTTACCAGCCGCCCCCCGTGAAACGGCGCAAATATTCATGCTTAAAGCTTAGGAGAAAAAGTGTAGATCGGGGGGCATTAACATTACGTATATATATATAGACTGTACGCAAATATTTATTAAACGTATATTGTATAATAGTATCACGGTATTTTAATAGCGCAAATATCAATGAATACTGTACACGCATGAATATTATTCAGTACGTAATTCCAAAATGGCGTAGCGTTGGGGCAACATTCGCACCTCCGATGAGCAATGGTTGGCTACGTACGGTGCGAAAAAAGTTCATCTAACGTACAAACATCCACGCTGCTCCCACGCCTCACCACTTCTTGTCGGGTAGTCGCGAGCTACGGTCGCGAAAATCCTAATGTCACTGCAATAAATCCGTCTCGAATACCCAACACCGATATTCGAACGCCTGCGAATATCAAGGTTTGGGGGGGGGGGCACTTGATTTCATTGTTGGCCACATTTCCATATGCTTGTCCGTACGGCTCATGTTAATGCAGAGCTGTAATTTTACATGGGGGTGGTCGAGCCAGATACATTTCGTTATGAATAGTGGTGATGTCTCCTTACACGTGAGACGGGCAGAGTCGTCGTTATACGTTCCATGGTTCTTAACGAAACTTGTATTTACTACTATAATGAGCCAAGAATGTCTGTGTCCCGCGTGTGACGTCACTCCATGTCGACCAGCCCCCTTCATTAATAATCATGAGCAGGTGACGTCACTCCACATCGAACAGCACCCCTCATTAATAATAATCATGAACAGGTGACGTCCTCCAAATGGACACCCCCCCCCCCGCCATTCATAATAATTAGCGGGTGACGTCACTCCACATGGGGGGGCGAGGCGCCTCCTCCCCCCTCCTCAGCGTCAACTCACAACCCTCACTACAAAGGCAGAACCCTCACGTCACGCGATCTCCGTAACACGATTGAGACATAGAAGTAAAAAGGACGTCATGATGAACAAGGGATTATAACCTTTAATGAAATAAGTCTGTCACCGCGGCCTTACAAATTGCACACGAATGGATGCAATGAATATCACGTCGCGGTCTGTTTTTCGCTTGCAAGTTTCATATTTACTGCAATACACCCGTCCTTGGACGGGCAAAAGGCGAGTTGTATCAGGTTAGGCCCACCGCGCTGTATAGCTCCAGAAGCGACCTGGCCACAATTGGATAGTTCAACAAAATGGCTGAGCATGTGGCAATTCACAGCAGCCAAATATTCCCCAAACGCATGTTTCTAAACTGTGGAGAGAAAAACAGGAAGTACTGGGAGAAAACTCCACGCGATCACTGGAACAACATGCAAACTGCAAAAAAACAGGCGTCGGGGTCGGAATCCAGTCCTGCACACCAGGCGATGTGATTAAGATTCTGCCACCGTGACGTCCTGTTTTGAGTGACCAGTCAGCAGCACACCTTAACCAGTTTTAAATTTTGGTAGGAACCTCCTGGTTACACCAGCCCACAGGGGATTATTGTGTCCGTCGTGCAGAGAGGGGCTGGTCACCCCGTGGTGCCCTTATAAAACGTATAAAACGTTTAACCTACTCACGCCGGCTTATATGCCCGACTGTGCGGGCGGGCACATTTGTGGAATACACCACGCCGCCGTTGACCCTGTTCCATTGACCGAGCAACCCAACGTTCCTACCAGCTCCCTCCGCAGGAATGTGTTCCATCACCAACCCGCATCGGCCAGCGTGTGGGAGTAGTCATAACACGTTCCTTCGGAGTGGGCAGGTAGGAACTTGGTTGGACAGCGCATTCGTGCACGACAGAAAGCTCGCGGTCACGTGACGCACTTCAACCAATCCGGGAGCGTACATGTTTGGGAGGGGCTATGCACGACAGACACATAATCCCTGGTGGGCAGTGTGGAACTCTTGTTCCTACCTGTATAACTGCCCTCCCTCCTCCTCCTCCTCTCACTCT